TTTTTAGGCCAACCACAATAAATATCATAAGCGATAGTAAAGCAAAGCCTGATAAAGGCGAGCAGCCCAACTAGCAATAGCAAACAGCCTTCTTATAGCCTCTTTTCCCCCTTACTTCCTATTATCTCTTAAAGCGAGCCTTTACCACTAAGGTCACCATCGGAAGCTAGTATTCCATTGCTGCCATACATTAAAGGTTTAAGTTCTTCATGTCATTCCCAAAGGATCTTGAAGGATATATTTCAAAATTTCAAGCATTTACCACTAAGGCGGCCACCATTGGAAGTTAGTATTCCATCGATATCATATATAAATGATTCAAGTAAATCCATTTCAGCTGGACATCTCTTTTAGGTGGTCTGTACGAGTCTAATATAAGTAGATGTTTTGGTATCTTAACTTTACAAGTGGTGCATAATTTTCGGTCTGTAGGTGCCTTCAGACCCATTTTTATGTTTCTGTTTGGTTTCAGTTTCATGATTTGGAAAACACCTATTTATTTGGTTTATTAATCCATGGAACAATCTACTTATGCAAGATGTCAGAATCCCAAGGAGAACTGGTTGTGTTTATGCTGTAAGAATGTCTTCTGTAGTCGTTTTGTGAACAAGCACATGCTTCAACATTATCAGCAATCAAATCACAGTCTTGCACTCAGCTACAGGTAAATGTAAAATGGTTCCTTAATGATACTTTACTTTCTGCTCTTAAGGTTCCTCGATGCCTTGTTTATTAACAATTTGCATTTGGAAACAGTGATTTGTCAGTTTGGTGTTTTTCCTGCGATGCATATTTAGATGCACAATTGATCCAGGAATTACGACCAGTACACGAAGTTGCCTATATACTGAAATTTGGCGAGGTCCCGCCATTTCGATAGGCTTAATCTTCCTGCAGGGAGACTTAAATTTGAGGCTTGTGTTGTAATTTTTATAGTCTTGATATCTTAGGTGTCCTGGTCTCTTAGTTTGAGGAAGTGAGCATTTCAAAATGTGATCTTCTTCACATGAATTGGGTTGAACTTGTTAGATGTTCATGAGGGTTGCTGATTGTTGCTTTTACAGAGATATGAGGGACAAAAAGTTGGAATCTCCTATCTTGTTCTGGAAAATTTTAGTGACTGATACAAATCTTGATGATAAATCAAATTGGTTCTCACAGTTTCAACTATCTAGCAAAATATTTCTCTTTTCAAGTCATTTTCGTCAATCCAGCTTCACTCATCATTGAAGAAAATTTAGAAAAGAAGACAGAAGAAGATGTGAAACAGAGACATTCAATTCGAATGCAGTAGAAACCTATATCGGGCCATTGACGTTGCAGCATTGCATAAGAATTAGTATGATGAAGATGCAATGTTTAAGTATGACAAATAAACATCGTTGCAACTGTAATTACTATGAGAATGTAGACCTCGCTGTGATAGTTGTAGGCTGTAGCCAGTATCAACGTCTATCTTCGTGCCCAAAATTTGGCAAGCTTCCAAGCACATCACAGGCACGTTGCTCGCATTCCAATTTGCCCCATCTTGCGTCGACACGTTCGCATGGGAATTTTGGTTTTCCAAGACTGCAGTAGTAACCATTGAAATGGAGATAACCAAATTAATACGATATAAAACACTCTGGTTCAAACAAAGTATGTCTTGTGAGTCAACTAAGTGAAACCTAAAGAGTTATGATATAGAAATTATAAGGTTGAAGACAAATTAATTAATTTGGAACTGATGAAATGAATCAGAAGTTACATTTAATACTTAGTTTGAGAAATAACCTTCGATTGACAACATTATGCACACGGCACAGCCATCCGGAGAACTCAGCATGAGATCCTGCCTCGACAGGGTTTGCTCTGTAAAACAATCACCAAAAAATTACTACTCGAAGATTTTGGGAAAAAAATAAGATTATTGTGAGATCTTACATCGATTGAAGAGGGGAACGGAACATTCTTTATAAAGATGTGAAAACCTCTCCCTAATAGACGCGTTTTAAAAATCATGAAACTGACAACAATACGTAACGGGCCAAAGCGGACAATATCTACTAGCAATGAGGGTTTGAGATGTTACAAATGGTATCAGAGCCAAACACTAGATGGTGTGCTAGAAAGGACGCTAGCCCCCAAAGAAGGTGGATTTTGAGAAGCCACGTTGGTTGGAGAGGAGACAAAACATTTCTTATAAGGGTATGGAAACCTCTTCCTAATAGACGCGTTTTAAAAATCGTGAGACTGTGAGCGATATGTAACGGACTAAAGCGAACAATATCTGCTAGGGATGTTACATTAATACTCATTTATAAAACATTTTTTCTGAACAAAACCATTTACTTCAATGATACATAAAATGTTAGAAAAAAAAAGGGTAAAAGATGAGTTTACATTTTCTTTAAAAAATTATTATTAGTCCCCTTTCCATTTTCTTAAAAAGAATTATAAAAGGTCATTGTATTTTTAGAAATGGACAAATATTAAGGTCTAGTGGAAGGGCTTCCAGGCATACTCAATTTGAAGAGAGGATAAACGATATACCTCAAAACTTCTTTAAAGTGGTCTGCACATTCTCCACAGGGATACATGCGAGATAATATTGCCATCTGCACACAAAACACAAGTTATTACATATAGCCAATGTCCAAGCTCAAGGATCCGTTTGTCTAAGTTAAAGACAAATTAATCATAGCACTCAAAATGAAGCTTTACATCTTTGAAAAGGCTAATAGAGTGGAACAAGAGACCTACACATGGTTTAAAAAGGATACCCTACCAATTCTTTTACATCCTTCTTCTGCTGCCTCGTCGGGTGATCTGGGTACTGACAAAATTAAAGGCCAACAATTCAATAGATTTGAATGAAAGGCATGGAATATATATTGAATTGTTATCTCTTCATGCTTGAATGGGGTGGGAGGTTGTTTCTTCTAATTAGAGAAAGACATTTAATTTATAAAGAAAAATACACAAAAAAGGGGAAGACAGAAGAAAGCCAAAGAGATTACAAAAAAAGCTGCAGTCTGAGAAGAGCATGAAGGAAGGAAGAATTACAGGGTTCTCTCAAAAGTTACACCATAAAGAGGCCAAAAATCTCACTGGTTTTTGAAAACCACTGTCCTTTCTCAACGCTATCCTTGACGGTTCTTCTATGTCCTCATAACCAAATTTCCCAAATCAAAGCCTTTACCATTTTTTTTAAATAAAAAAAAACTAGCTGTGGATTTGAAAGGATGAGGACAAAGGAGTTGATCCAATAATTCCTCAAGGTTCTTGGGGAACTAGATAATTATACTTGGGGTGCATTGCATGTTTATATATACACATATAAAGAGAGATTTCACACGTCAATGGTGGAGAACAAAATTAAAAAGGTAACATTGCTGAGAAAACCTGAGCAGCAAGGATGTGAAGAAAAGTCCACGTAGCCCTTCCAAGCGCTTCCTTAGTTACAGGTGCAGCAGGCTTTCCTCAATAAAAAATTTCAAATCAAAACCAAACCAGTATGAGAATTTCAAAATCAGCTCTATAGGAATTACACAAAGAAGCTGATACATAACACAGCCGAATGATCATTGCAACTGAACGAGTTCAAAATTTTCTCAATGGTAAGTAACTTTGCGTAGATGGATTTCATTTTGTTTCTTCAAGCAGTCTTTTTTAATACCAACCCAAGCTCCATTTTTAGATTACAATGGAAACTGGCATCAGCTTAGTTATGATCATGAGATATTAAATCCTATCGTGTTCTCTGATTCAGTTCAAGAAATCCATTAAACTGTTTTATTTGATACAAAACCCATTTCTTAACCTGGGACAAATTCTCAAGAAGCTACCAAGTAAAAACACGCAACCCAAAATGGCCTCAAGATTTCAGAAATTAGATGCACATGCTATGAATCACAAATTCAACAATCTCAAAAAGACAAATGAAAAGCAGATTACTTTTCTTTCAGGACTTTTATCAAACACTTACAGAGCATACGAGTCAATTCACGAAAAATACAGCTACAGCAACCAAAATTTGAACATAACAGCTCAATCGCAGGCTAGAGAAGGAAAGAAGTGAAAAGAAAATTAAAATTACCTTTTTGAAAACTTCATCAGATTGCAGATAAGTGGCATCAGTGTATGAAGGAGAAGCATATGATGATGAAGATGGGGAAGAAAGGGGTTTATGGTAAGGGCGTGAATGGTGGGGCGGCTGCGGAAGAAGATTAGAGAGATGGGTTTGAATGGAAGTTGAAATCTTTTGAGCAGTTTCAAAGAGAGTTTGCAAGGGAAACTCAGGCATGTTCGGAAATCTGAGCGGGAAAAAGCTCTGCGGATGTTATCAGATACGCTTAATCGGAAATGTTCGTAAATCTTCTTCGACTTAAATAGCTTTAAAACTTTTAAAACTTTGATTAATATTTTAAATTTTTTAATATTTTATTTTAAAATAGTTTTAAAATACATTTTATTTTTTAAATAAATTATAGAATATTCAAAAGTTTCATTAATACCTTAAAAAAAAAAAAAAAAATTCAACAATAGCTTTAAACTTTTTATGGAAGTAATTTTTTAAATAAAAATAAAAATATTTTTTATTTTTCAAAAATTTTTATAGAATATTAATGGTTTTTTTTAAAAAAATTTAAGGTATTTTTTAAATATAATTGAAAATTTAAAGGTATTTTTTTAAAGAAATTACTAATAATTTTTATTAATTTATGGATATTATGACTCGGAAATTTTTATTAATTTAACATATTTATTTTATTTAAAATTTAAAGTTCTGAAAATGAGATGAATTAAGAAGAAATTAAGAATTAATGAGATTTTGTTTACTCACTTAGATATCTTTAAATTATTTAATGGAATGGCGTAGCCTAATTATATTATTTATTTATTGAAAATGTATTGAGTTATGTTTCTTTTTATCCACTCCGAATAAATGGGAACTATAAACAAAATAAAAATAAAAGAAAAACATGTTTGGAATTATAGTGGGAGGAAAAGAAAAAAGGAAAATGCGCACGTGCGTAATTGAAATGCGATACGATTGGCCGAGGGACAAACGCATTCGCAAGAACTCTGGTCGATGATCGCTGTTTTGATTTCGGTCTCCAATCTGCAAATCACCAAAAGCGATCGATTCAAGATTAAACAATTTAAAGAAGCGGCAAAAACTTGCAAATTTTCGATTCAGAAGACGCCGCCAAAATCATCCATCATTCATACACAATTCCGTCATTTCTTTTCGGTGAGTTTCTGAATTGATTGCCTGCTTCTTAGGGTTTGCACTTCACCTTCAAATTTGAAGTTGGCATTGAATGATTTTTTTACGTTTACGATGCTTTAGGCTGTTAGTTTTTATGTTTTCGACGCTGATGAAAACCCTTGTTTGAGCGCGATTTTGCTGCGATCGATGTTTTGTTTTGAATCAAATTTGGTTCGTTTCGAGCTGTTCTCCAGTTTGGTTTCTTCGATGTGATTCATAAGTTCGGGTATTGATAATCAATCGTTTAGTTGCGATATTGGAAAAGATTTGATACTTAGCTGTGAAATTTAGGTTTCTGGATTTCTGATGAAAAGTTCTTGCCCTATTAGTCTACTTGTTGAAGGGGGATTCTTAGGGCTTTATCTCGGATTCAGCCATTGTTGAAATTACAGCTCTGAAAATGATTCCGAGGAAAGATAGTTCTCGTATAGACACTTCAGAGCTGAAAGCGATGATCTACCAAAAGCTTGGACATCAGAGGTCGGAGAAATACTTTGATCAGCTCAAAAAATTGTTAAGTTTAAAGATCAACAAGAGGGAATTCGACAAGTTTTGTATTCAGATCATTGGAAGGGAGGTTATACCTCTTCATAATCGGCTTATCAGAGCGATTCTTCGAAATGCCTGTGTTGCTAAAATTCCCCCTGTTCTTAGCAGTTCTAGGAAAGTAGGAGCCAATCTCAGTGTCAAGGTTGTGCATGGATATCAGAAGAGTTGTCTTCAATCGCTTAATGGAGATGCATTTCTCTCTTCCCCTCGTAAGGGCAGGTCTCCGGCTAGTAGAGACCGCAAGATTCGAGATCGCCCGAGTCCTTTAGGTCCATGTGGGAAGCCTCAGAATATTGAACTTGAACTTGCTTTCAAGGCACAAGAACAGCAGAGTGCAACTGAGTTGCATTCGCTTGGTAGTCGTCCTCCTGTCGAAATGGCATCTGTAGAAGACGGAGAAGAGGTCGAGCAGGTGGCTGTGAGTCCAGGAGTTCAGAGCAGAAGCCCGGTTACTGCTCCATTTGGTATATCCATGAACTTCATTGGATCTGGTAAAACTCTGTCTAATGTATCTGTAGGAAGAAATTACCATGTAACAACATGTCAAAATGGTGGCAAGCTACCCGACACAAGGTTGCTAAGAACTCATTTGAAGCAGAAGTTGGAAACGGAGCAGATTGATATATCTGTGGATGGTGTAAACCTTCTCAACAATGCGCTCGATGTTTATTTAAAGAGGTTAATCGAGCCATGTTTGAATTTCTCTCGATCAAGGTGCGAACGAGAGGGGAATCAACCGATCACTAACTCAAGAACCAGATCCCTGGAACAACATTGGCATAGATCTCAACGGTTGAACAACGCATCCTTGTTGGACTTCAGTGTTGCAATGCAACTGAATCCTGAAGTACTCGGAAAAGACCGAACAATACAGCTCGAGAAAATTAGTTTACGAGCTTTAGAAGAGTGATAGTAGCTGAATATATTCAAAAGGTGATCATATATTGTGAATAATTTGATGGTTTTGTGTCATTTTAAAGTTCCACGCTTATTTTTGTGATTCTTGCAATGAAAGGTTTTGAGATCCATTTTGAGCCTTAAATCATGTTTATTAGGTTATATGTAGATAAAGGCTCCAACGGTCATTGTCCTGAGGAATATGTTTATGATCTAATAAAAGCTTACAACTTCAGATACTCTTGGGTCTATGTTCTTCTCTGTCTGAGTTACCTAGGATAGCTCATCGTAATACGGTAAATCCACAAATTAAGCATCTATAATTCATAGATGAAATTTAGAATTTAGTCCCTGTAAGTCGAAAGAAAGTTAGAAATGGTAAGTCAGTCTCTTTAAGATCGAACAAGAATCTCAATTATCTGAAAGGCTATATGATAACATAAATGATAATGCATGGTTCTTCATTACTAAATAAAAACAAGAAGAATATACACTAAGTAGCTGCTAAACAGAATCCCAGAAAGTTCCCTCATGAAATTCTGTACAATTATATGAACTGAACAAAGAATCTCTCTATTTTTCTCCCTCCTCTGCTAATAAGCTGCCAGTTTCTGCATCAGCCTGCAAAAGGGACTGTCAAAATCCCAAATTGCTCGGCCATTGGGATCGGATCATGGGGCAGCTTTCTCGAGGCTTGCCATGTATGTCATGTAAACAGTCCACGCGTATGAAAACGAATTGCTGACCAACGGCTGCAAAACCAAACATACACTCAAAACCACAAGAGAAGGGAAGAGAATCAGATGGACAAAGATTAGAGAACAGGGCATACTTGAAGATGAACAGGGACGAATCTGAATGTGATGAAGTCACAAGCTGGCCAGTACATAACACCATTGAGCATTGTAGGAAGTAAATCTCGTTTCAATCGGCCAATGATTTCAGAACCATTTTCACCTATTTTCAGGCACATCATTCTTAGTAATCTAAAGGTTGAAAAATGAAGCAGGTTGTGGAAAATGGCGTACCTTGGAGAAATGCATTCATGGAGAAGAAAATGACTGTCATGGAAGGGCCATAGAGGCTCTGGCCCAAGGCCATTTTCTTTAAGGTGGAGAAGATGTCCTTCTTGGGGAAGAGTCTTGACATGAAGTTGAACCAGTAATGGAGAGATGGCCCTAGAATCAGCAGGCCATATCCAGCCATACGTAGTGTTCGAACTAAATCATATGGCTCTGAAGATGACAGAGCAATGGTCTGAAAGAACATTTTATTCCAAAATCAGAGCAACATTTACAATTACAATCTCCAATGAGAGCAACGGATTAATAGTAGTAGACGAGAACAATAAGTTGCACGATGAACAGTCAAAAACAGAGTGGGGATCTCTAACGAATGCAGATGTTCAAAAGCCTTGATCGAGAAGAAAACTATTCTATGAAGAACAATCAAAGAACAGAGAAAATGACTATAAAAAAAACCTAAAAACAGAGGTTTCAAATCATCAAACACATCACGAGCAGATTCAAGCTCCAAAACAATTCACCTGAGACGACAAATCAGCAGCCGTGTAAATAAGCGCAGAAGTGATACTCTTCGTAAGAACAGGGCGACATTTCACCATAGTCAAATACCATTCGAGAAACTCAACCTTCGCAAACGAAATAACCGACCACACAGACGAGTGCTGCAACGATGGAAAAACACCAACCTCCTTCGTCTTCCTGAAAGAATCCGGCAAACGGAAATACGGCCGAATGGGCTGAGATTGCTTCCTCGCGATCGCAGTAGCTTCAAAAGCCTTAGAACCTTTCAACTGAGAAGAACGGCGAAAATGCAACAATCCAGAAAGCCCGGAGCTCCTCCGGAAAGCGCCGAGCATCTTTTTAGGGTTTAGGGCTGAAAATGAGAAGAGGGTTTTGAAGTTTGAAGCGAAACAAAAGACGAAACAGAGAAAATTTGGCAAAATTTGCGTTTCTCGGTCCCATTCGCCACGAGGTTTTTATATTGCAATTGTACCAAAATAAGCAGTCAAGTATAATTTGTTTTCTTTGCCTACTTGCTCGACTATGAAATTGCTGTACTCGCCATCTTGTTCACAAAAAATTATTTATTGTCTTTCTCTCGATTATAAGAAATAAACCGATAAAAAAAATATTACCTTCAAATTTTGCCGCCTAAGAGACAACTATCCTATTTTATTTTTTTAATAAAATTTAAAGTCGGTCTTATTATTTTTAATTTATTATTAAATTTTCTGAAACTTAGTTTATGTAAATTTTAATAATAGTTTTTTTTTATATGTATAAAATTTATTATTATCATTTATCTAACTTTTAACTCTAATAACTAATTTTAAAATGTATACAAAATATAGATATTAGATTTGGACGAAAGTGTTAAATGAATTAAATTAAAAAAAATATTTTTGAACCCGTCCCTCAATTCAATACATATGTCACATCACTCTTATAAATATTAAAATAACAATAATGTTTTGGTTAAGAACTGCGAGTGGGATTGGATTACAGGTGGGGAAGGGCTTTGTTCCAGTTAATAGGGGAGACGTCAGTTTCTGGACACGTCTGATTAGGGACCATAGCTTTTTTGACACGTGTCTGGGGAACTGACACGTGGGTTGGTGACTTTTTGAAGCAGTCGGTCTCTTGAATTAAAAAAAGAAACTTGGGCACCAAACTTGGTAGTTTCTAGCCCTTTCTTTGTTTCCTAAAATTGAAAATTGTGAATTATATACATATACATATATATACTTAGCGAGTTCGATACCAAACAAACCAAAAACAACTCAAACATACTTATATTGTAGTAAACAATATAATATCCATTGTCGTTTTCAAGGTATCAAATAATTTAACCTCTCACTCTATATTTGTTGAACTAAAAAACGATCTATTTGAATATCCTAAGAGATGGGTTATGTGTAATAGAAAAGGATCCAACCAAACAGACCTACTCATTCACATTGCACCACTTCATTGATAGAGCTTTCAAAGGTTAAGAGGGACATACAGAGACTAAACAGGTAGAACATTGCAGCAGAGCTAAAGGAAGTCACAGTTGTATGAGCAGAGATCAGAACCAACACTCTTTAACTACAGATTTCATAAATTTTGTTCTATATATAAACACCCACCCTTCAGTAATGCAGTTTGATGTAGAATTTTTCACTTTTGAAGATGGGGGAAGCAGGCGAAAACATCAGATTTTGGGTGTTTTGCTTCAGCATGCTCCCTACATTTCACCTCTGAGGTCGTACACATGAATGTCTGCATGCATACCTTGCACTGCAACATCCAAATATCAATTCATTCATCATTCTTCACAACAATAACCAATCTACTAAATCTATATATAAGCCAGTGGTCTTCATCAAACTTAAAAGAGGCCCGAATCACCAGCTAAGGCTCCTAAATGACCGTTCAGTGATATAGATTTGATTTTTCCATAGACATATTCATTCAAAAAGGCCCCTATAAATGTAATAATCGTTGATCAACAAGAAGAATATCGGGCTCTTCAAAAATGTATCACATTGGGAATTCTAACTCCTACTACTTGCTATCCTAGATTTACCTCCGTGGAAAGGATGATGAATTGCATTGAAAAGACAAGTATGCACAATCTAATTCTTACATTATACGATATTTTTTGTCTGACAACGTTGGACCATAATGTATTTTTTATGGATTGTCCTTGACATGCTTGTCTCTCTTTTTTTACTTTTTGAAAAACTAAGGTGTATGCATGTTAATGTTTTTGTTTCTTAGACTGATGAACATAAGTTTATTAAGTTTCCATTTCTCTAAATGGTGAAATATAGAATCATGCCATCAATAAAACTTAGTACATGGTTCAAGATTGAACTACTTCTTGCACAAAAAGAGAGATCCAACATTCAGAGTCAAAGATGTAGGTAACTTTCATCATAATATCATAGATGTAGGAACAAGAGAGAGGGAGAGTCAGAGAGAGACCAACAATCTTTCATAGATCCTACGGCCAACATATAGTTTCTATATCGTTTTCCCGTAAGTAGCCAGGATAGATACAAACTGATATCCAAGACCTTTATAATATCTGTCTAGTGTAATTCATAATCAGCATACAAAAAAAGAATATAAGGCAAATGGCCGTCTTATTTCTGATCCATGGTTAAATTTGCTTAGAAGTATAATGTTCGACTCTCTCCTGAAAATGTGTTGAAAGTTTTTAAATGCTTCCTTAATGATTAAAGAATTATAGAATTCCAGCCTAATAACACCATTAATGGCTTAGAAAAAGACAGCTGACCAAAAAATCAAGGTATCACTAAAATATTTTAGATATGGTACTTGTTGTGGAAACATTGACTGTGAGATTATCCCACATCGGTTGGAGAAGGGAACGAAGCATTCCTTATAGAGGTGTGTAAACTTCTCTCTGGTAGACGTGTTTTAAAACCTCGAGGAGGAGCCCAAAAGGAAAAACTCAAAGATGACAATATCTGTTAGCAGTGGGTTTCGGCTATTACACGGACACTAGGTTCACTAAACTCAGAACCCAGTAATACACTCGGTGATGACAGGCGCACTGAGTTTATTGGTCTATACTCCCAGATGCTATATGGTTGAATTGAGCCTTGTAAAATGCTCAGGTGATGAGGAACACAAGGACGACGTGTATAAAGCCGCCACCAGTTGAGAGAAAAGGAATATGAATATAAGATACATGGTAAGTTTTCCTATATATCCACACTCCAAGGTTCTTAGGTTAACCCTGTAACTGAAGTCTGTAAACTTTTACTTCAGATTATGAACGCCCGATCGAATCTATCAAAAACAAGCCGACGATTACAGGGAAAACAGCTGACTGCAGTCCCTGAGCCCAACTATATTTCGATCTCACACTAAGCCAAGAAATTCAAAAAACAATAAATTTTGAAATATGGGGAAGAGAAGGATAGGGATCAACAAGTTCTTGAAAATTGTTTTTGTCGTTGTGGTTCGTAGCCACGTGCTCTAATCCTCTGAGCTACAGGCCCAATACCAAACCAAATACGACGAGTAGTGGGGTCTTGAGCTAAACCTCGGAAATCGGTACATGCAAAAAATAGGCCAATTCGGCAGCCTTTTGCTCAATTTCTCGTGGGGTCAGATTCTGATCGGGAAAAGGTTGAATTGTAGATTGGTCTATAGACTAATTGTCCTTTATGGCTCTCTCATAGTGTAAACCTCTTCTTTTTTTAACAATGACAGTACTAACAGTGTTTTGGCTTAATTGAAACAAGATTATGTAATCTCCTTGGGTTCGAGGTTGGAAAATTTGTAGTAGCAGCTCTAAAATAGTTTATTGTTTCCTTGGGGGAAAAGATACTGTTAGTTTCCATGCCTAAAACTAATAAGACGCCGAAATCAAATGAAATTACGGTTCAATCACGGAAACTATTACGATCAAACCCTTTTCTCGTTCACGGCTCATTGAAGAACAGAATTGCGGTAAAAAGTGAACAGATCAAGTGCATAATCGAAACCCAAGAACAAAAGAAAAGAGGAGTAAGCACTACAATCAATGAGAGTTACCTGAATAGTCATAGCTTTCTTGTTGGAATCAAGCTGGCTTCCTGCACAGGATCGGATCAACAGCGAGATCGAGATTTAATAAACCCTAAATAAAGATCGCGAAAATTGGGAAACGCGAGGGATTGAGGAGGCAAAAGAAGTTGGTGAAGAGAAAGAAAGTACCCTTGGAGCCTTTTTGTTTCTCCAAGTTTTTCTCGCGAGCCATCTTGGCCTTCTGCCCGTTGCCCCCTCCCATGGCGGAATCGATCGCTTCTGCGTTGAAAGGAAACAGAGGAGACCACCAAAAAAGTTTTTTTCCACTGCTAACGCGGAATGCACTCTGAGCATGAATTGAATACGATAAATGTTTTTTTTTTTTTTTTAAATACTTTTTAATAATTATCAATCAAACTTTTCAAAAGTTAAATAATATTTTTTAAACCAAAATTTAATTTTTAAATAAATTTTTTTTTTAAATTTTTTTTTAAGTTAAAAAATATTGTGATTTAATCCACATAATCCCTCGAACCATCTTCCATTTCAATCTAGGGTTGATCGTGTTCTTTCGCTCTATGTCACGGTTATTTGTCCAAAGTGTGTTAACCGTGGTTACATACTCATGCTACATCCAACCCTTTATTAAGTTTCATGTGGTACGGTTTTACTATTGTATTTTCTGTTTGTATGACTATTCAATAAAATTATGTCTAAACCGACTTAATCGTCTCAATATGTACTATAAATAGTTATTAAACAGTGATGTCGACATCGTTTTTTAACTCGGCGGAAACAAACTACTCTTACTAAGGATTATATTAAATAGAAATAGGGAACGAAATAAATAACTCTAAAGATTTCTCCTTTAGTATAGGGATCATCTATAAAGCTTGTTCTTTTGAATGCATTTAGACGAAAAGGCTGACATAGTTGTTATGCGTGAGTAGCATTTTTTTTTTTTTTTTACATCTTACATGTAAGAATTTATCTATCTTCCATAAAAGAGTCGAATGAAACGAAAGATTCATGTTCAATTTTAAATTAGAGGGAGGTGTGACTAGTCGTCAACTCCTTCCACTTAAATTTTGTATAACCGTTCGACGAAATCACATATGCACCTACCATACCTTAATCGTCTCAAAATGTACTATAGGGGAATTGTCAATTTTTTCCTATCCGAAAAGTTATATGCTAGTGTTGTTTTTGGTTGTCTAAATACAAGGGAGCTTTTAGTGTTTCATTTGCTTTTTTTGATTAGCTTTCTTTGCTCTTACAAGCATGACACTCTGTAAAGTAACATGCTTGACAGTAAATCTTCGTTTAACGACTGCATCGTGCTCCATTTTATATAGGGAGGTCTACAGGTGTATTTGGATCTAATGGCTGACTGATCTTTAGTCATTGATCAGTCGTCACTCTAGATCATCGAGCCATTAGAGTGGAAGGACATTTAGATGCAGAAGTAGCATGAGCATCAACAATCCCCACTACTCTAATGGCTCGATGTAGAACCAGGGAGGCTGGGTGTTGAACTGATATGAGACAATGTCATCCTGTTTTTGTAATTGCTTCAGTTGACGTGGAGAGACATGCTCGGGATTTTATGGAGGCAGCTAAAAAGCTTTCATAACCAAAGTGAGGATCAACTAACCAAAGTGGGAACAGTAAGGTAAATAATCAATCAAACACTTTTTTTCGTTCAAACAGAGAATCTTTCTTATGAGTTAAAAATAAGTTAAAAATAAAGGTTTAGTAGCAGCAATAGGCTTGATCATTGAAGGCTGAGTAAGATAACAAAAGAAGGAAGCCCATGAGTGTGGAAATTAAGCTTAATTTTCGAGTAACAAAAACAAAATTGAAATTCGAATTGGTAATCGAGTAGGGCATACTTTTTTTAGTTCGGATTCTAACAATGTTCGTAAAGAGTTGATAAGAAAACACAAAGAAGGGTTTGTAAAGTTTAATTTTTAAGAACTAAAAACCAATGGTTATAATGGGGCTTACTTAATATAGTGTTTAAAAGTAATCTGTGGACATTGCAACTCAGAATAGCAAAGTGCTATCATCATATCTAAAGATAAAGAACTCAGGCACATCCGTTAGTGCCAGTGATTCAAGGCAGGCAGGCAATAAATTACTCACTTTGTTGGGTCGAGGTGACTACACTTGGTTCAAAACTTGCTTCCTTTCCTCCTCTTCAGCTTTGATCCAGGCAGCCTACACGACATGAAAAAACAATAAGCAAAAACAGCTTCATTGTATAAGTTTGGAGACCTGCAAATATTTATGAACTGCAATATTATGTAACTACCTTGTCTCGTTCAAGTTTGGAGAGATGTGGTCTCATGGAATCTCCCAAACTTAAGCCTCCCCAGGCTGACTGAAGATCTCTCTCCCTAGCTTCACGACGCGATAGAAAGTTTCTCTTCTGATTTTCTGGTTCCTGAGAAGACGACATCGTCTTCTCTCGTTCGAGTCTTGATTTATGTTTAACCAGAATATCTCCCAAACCTCCACCACCTTCAACATTGATCTCTGAATGCTTACTTTTTTCACTTCTCTTTAAGTTCTCTGGTTTGCATTTCATTTTCTCTTTCTCCAGTCTTGAGACGTGCTTTACTAAAATTTTGTCCAAGCTCTGGCAATCAGGTGTGCGGTTATTAACCACCTGTTTCTTATTTTGTCTTTGCTGATCATGGTTACTTTCAGCCAACACGGCCAGCATCTTTTCCCTTTCCAGCCTTCGCACCGGCTTCACTAAGATCTTATCTAGGCTGTCTTCCCTTTCCCTTCCCATCTTCAGTGAAGACTTCGGCATACTAACATTTTCCTTTTCCTCTGTGTCTATGTCCCGATTTTCTTCGATCCGCTCAACTTTTCTTCTATTTTTTGCTTCTTGTACTTCTTTTTCAAGTCGTGAGACATGTTTCACGAGATACTTATCAAGACTAGGAACTGCTGAAACAACTTCTTTACGCCTTGCCTGCAACTTGTTGCTATGGATCTTGAGTTCTTCTCCACCCCTGCAATTAGTCTCTTTAACTTCCTTCTCAAGTTCTGAAGGTGGCTTTGTCAGTATAATTTCCAAGTTAGGAACAACTTTCTTGTCATGAACACTGCTCAATTTTTGAAGGTTTTGCGACGCATCTAAGTCGATCTTCCCTTCCATCGTTGTTTCCGAGTTCTCCGAGGTCAATTCCTTTTCTTCGTTCTTTCTGCTATTCTTTGCTTCAAGCACCTCTCTTTCCAATTTAGTCACACGCTTCACCAAGAACTTGTCTAGACTGGGAAGTTCGGACTCAGCTTGCTTTCTCCCATTGTGCAAATTATTGAAGTAATTTCCAGAACCGGCAGAGGGCATTCTCCAAGGAAGGTTAAGAGCTGAAACAGAGGACTGAACTGCAGAGGAACCTGCATCATGAAGCTTTCCACTTTCTACCTCGGTCAAGGCGGCATTCAAACCACAAGTAGCTACTATGGTGGCAAGAGAAGAAAGTTCATCTTCTTTCAAACGCCTAAGCCTTTCATACATCAAGTCCTCAATCTTGGTCTCCTTCTCAAAAGTTTTATGTTTCAAATGTAAATCCAAGTTGTGAGAGCTTAAATCATCCTTTCGAGGCGCTTTATCAAGATCCAAGTCATTCTCTGATTCACATTCAGTAGAAAGTTCAGATGAGTCTACATTATTATCACTATCTGGGTTCTGAGAGATTTTTCGTAAAAGCTCTTTAAAGTCATCTTCTTTCAAAGAACAATTCGCAAGCCTAACCAATGCTGTTTTTACTGCTGCAGCCACTTCCTTATCAACCTCAAATTCTGTCTCAAAAGAGGCTGTGATGGTGTGAGTTGTAGACCCAGCACCACTAGAAGATGAGGTTTCCATTTTGTAAGTCTTCTGTGGACAATTTGGTGTATCAAACATGATCACTCCCATAACCGCAGCTTCTTCAAAAGCTTCAGCTGCAGTTTTCTCAGCTCGGTACATCTGTTCTAAAGCTTCTTTACATTGAATTCTGAAGAACAGAGAACAATTCAAAATATGAGAAATCAAATAAGCTCAACAATCCTCCATAGGTGAAGAAAAAGAGTATACGATATACATACCTAGCCGCTTGGAGTATTCTACACCAAGAGGTTTCGACCAATGCTGCTTTTCTAGCTTCCAGGGCTTTATGTGCTGCCTCTCTTGCTGCCATCTTTTCTTTCAATACTCTCGAGTAATGTGGATTAGAATCACCTAGAGTCTCATCTAGTGTTAAATTCAGGCCATCTACTTCCTGCAGTTCATAAATTTCTAGTTTTAGTTGGGTACAGAAGGATAACATGAACTGTAATGCCATACAGAATGGACAAACGTACTACACCTGCAGCATTTTGATCTTCCTCTTCAAGTAAGAGTCCACTTTCTTGCGAGGGAACCAATTGATAGGGGAAACCTTCCTATGAGGAGGCTTCTTGATTTGCGATGTAAACTTGTTAACACCGTGCATTGAGGATTGGTTTGTCTCTTTCAAAAACTTACTCTGTAATCATTGTATAAAGATAAACAAATTTTAACATAAACAGCAAAAATCCACGACAACCGGTAGTGTTGTTAGGGCTTCCAAAACATGGCCTCGATCAAATTCGATGCAATGGAGGTTTAGGTTTAACATTTTCTAGAATAACAATGGAACAGATTTTATATAATTGAACCAAAAGAAAGTGGATCAAGAACTTGAATCTAACTTGAGCCGCTAGGGCTTCCGAAATTCCGATTTAGTTCTATACAAGTCGACAACGGATTTGAAATTCAAACTCGGAAACAATCAGCAGTAAACTGAACTACTTCACTTCTCAATTCTAGATACGAATCATTTGCAAGAAACGAAACAGAATCAAGACATACTGAATTCGAATCAAGAAACGTAAAACGGAAATTCAAACGAAAAATTTTTCTGAGTAAGAAAATTTACTCTTCCACTTTTTGAGCTTGCAGAAACAGTCTCGCCAGATTCGTCCTTCTTACTCTCCGAATCGATAGCAATGAAATTGTTACCTCGATCTTCCGACGCTGAGACTGAGTCCAAGTTCGAACAAGCCGAATCCATGGTCGATCTTCTCAGAAATGCAAATGGAATACGATCAACTTTCAGAAATCAAACAGATTTGATGCAACAGATTCAGTGTGTGAATCACTTGCGAGACTTCTACGTATTCCGGAGAGAAATTTCGCATTAATTTCACTTCTTGCGTAGCAAAATTCCTCTGGATCAATGAGAGAGAATTTTGTTTAATTTTCTTTTCTTATGAAAATGAAAACTAGCCGTTACGTCTTAAAAGGACGCTTCTTTAGAAATTCCCAACGGTCATTTAAAAAAAAGTTGAAGTTATCCTCTGCGTTTCTGTACACATTTTTTATTGCTCTCGAACCAGTAAACGAATTACACGTAGACTTCTAAGAATTCATGAGTTTGGTTTATTTTTCATACAAAATAAACTAATTAATTAAAAAAATCTTAATATTATATATTTGTATGAAATAATTAAAATTGACTAATACAAAATAAATAAATAAATTATCCCCAATTAACTAAAAAAATAAGTTTCCATTATAAATTAAATTAAATCATTGCACTATTAACTTTCTATTTGAGATCTCCAAATAATTTGGAAAGAATTTCAAATTATAATGGATTTAAAATCATTTTCAAATTTTTATTCGAATGAAAAAAAAAACAATTAAAATCAAATTCTTCCTTCTTTTTTTTTCGCCCAAAATATATCACATTTACTAGAATTTTAAATTATAAGGTAGTTGCGAATTTGAATATATCTCGATTGATATAATTATATACTCGACCCGTAGTTTAAATTAACACATGTGCACATGTTGTTGAATAAAAGAAAAATGTAGTTCAAAAAAAACTGTTCTATGAAAGTTTGAGCTAATTTAGGAAATTATCATGTGTTTATCTGGGAAACTCAAATCAAAGCCATGAAAGCTTACATTCAAAGGGGACAATATCAAACCATTGTGGAGAGCCGTGTTCATTCTAACATGATATCATGGTATCAGAGTCATGCCAATAGAATCCTCACATGTCTAACAAAGGACCAAAAAAAATAGAGTAGGATCTAGGCTCATGGTATCAGAGTCATGCCAATAGAATCCTCACATGTCTAACAAAGGACCAAAAAAAATAGAGTAAGAGTCTGAGCCTAGATCAGGGAAGGCATATTTTGTTCTTGAGTTTATAATAAAAAATAAAAAATAAAAATAAAATGGTAAGATTGTCAAAAATAAATAAATAAATAATAAATAAAATTCATATTATTTAGAACAAATTTATTATTTTTTTTTTTAACAAATTGAAACTTCAAAATGTGAAGATGAACAATTTTTGCTCATTTGAACGTGGGGGAGAAAAATTGTCAAAATGTTGAAGTATTTAGCTTTTGTGCCTAAAAGTTATTAGAGAATCGACATATTTGTATAATTACATCTTATTGATATTAATTTTGTGGTGGATTCATTCAATAATCAGACCCAAAAAAGAAAAATAAAATTTTGTTGAATAATTTGGGGGAGAAATGGATTTAGATTATCTAATATTTCTATAAACAAAATTTAAAATCACACCCAGAAAAAATTCGCTAAGTTCGGACGAGGAATTTCCTCCAAAATGAGTGCGAGTACCCTTGTCGCCGAAGCAGTGTGGAAGCAGATCGAGTCGACTCGATCAGGTTGCGTTTATCGATTGTTTTCTTCCCTAATTTTCGGATTTTCGTCCTCAAAAAGTTGTAATTAAACTGTACTGATTTCGCAGTGACTGACGATCAGCTTTCAATGTGAGTATTCTCGATTCCTTCCATTAGGAGAAGTTCTTCATCTTGTTATGAAACTTCGAAGTTGACTGTGTCGGCGTTGGTTCCAGATTGCATTTCTTGTTTGGGAAGAACTTCGAGCGAGCTACTCGGATTGTGGATCAAAGTGGAGTGAAGAAAATTTCAGGCGAGCCAAGCGGACGGTCCATCTTTCAGGTCATTACAGTATTTTTCATCTTATTCTTGTTGAAAATTCGATCAAATATCGATTTTAAGTTCACGGTTTCCATTAGGGTTTGCTTAAACTGCCCTAGAACAGATCGTAGTTACATTCTGCTTTTGTTTGAAGCCTTGTGAATGAATGTTCTTGAATTAAACCACGGTTTTTTCTCCATCTCTCTAGTGGTAGAGAAGGATTTACCCGACACTTTGGGAATGATTGGAGAAGGAATTACATTGCAGAATGCTGTTGGTTTGATATCATGTGCATTGTAGAATGTTGCTGGTTTGATAATCATGTGCATTGTAGAATGTTGCTGGTTTGATAATCATGTGCATTGTAGAATGTTGCTGGTTTGATAATCATGTGCATTGTAGAATGTTGCTGGTTTGATATTGTCATGTACTTGTATAATGCTGCTGGTTTGATATCATCTACATTGTAGAATGTTGCTGGTTTGATATCATGTACTATGTTATGTATTACTGAACCTGCAAACTATATTCTGGAATATGAATATAAGATTAAATCTTTAACCTATGATTAAATCTTTAACATAGTATTAGAGTCGACCCTTTTGAGTCGTAGCAACATTATTCAAAGTTGAACCCTCATTATGGTTTAAGTTTGCTTGGCCATATAAATCAACATCGAGAAAACCAAGAGCTACAGTAACAGCCCAAGCTCAAGCCCACTGCTATTAGATATTGTTCTCTTTGGGTTTTCTCTTTTAGACTTCCCCTAAGGTTTTTAAAACGTGTTTGCTAGAGAGAGAGGTTTCCACACTCTTATAAAGAATGATTTGTGCCTCTCTCCAAAAGTTGTGGGATCCCACAATCCACTCCCCCTTCGGGGCCAACGTCCTCGTTGTCACACCTCCGATGTCTAGCTCAGATCTCATATTAGTTGGAGAGGGGAACAAAACATTTTTTATAAGAGTGTGGAAACCTCTCCCTAGCAGACACGTTTTAAAATCCTTGAGGGGAAGCCCGAAAGGGAAAGTTCAAAGAGAACAATATCTGCTAGTGGTGGGGTTGAGCTATTACATTCATACTCAAGATGACGGAGTGTGGTTATTTAGTCATTTGTACATGTTTCTACAAGACTTTCCCCAAATCTTTGGTTGCCAGATTCAAAACCAGCCAAATTGTTTGTTTAGAACAAGTAACATTCTTGAGAATCGTTCACAGAATGAATTCTGCTTTCTTTCAATGCTAGGTTGTGGGAGAATCTCGAAGGAAAGAGGAGTATTTCTGTTTCCCAGAAAACTTTTGTGCCTGTTATTCCTTCTTCTATGACATTGTGAACAGAGGAGAACAGCTTTGCGTAAGGATCACTTCTTTCTTGTTAAGTGTAGCTGAGTTGAAAGCTTTAAGAAAATCCTATTACTTCCACTTCCCAATCATCTTTATTTGTCGTTCTTTATTTCGTAGTGCAAGCATCAGTTAGCTGCAAGGCTTGCTGCTTCACTGGGGGCTTGTGTTGAAGTTAAAGTATCTGATGAAGAGCTAGCGATATTATTGTCCAATCTTTAGTGACTTTATCAAAGCCAAAGCTCTCAGTACTCAAAGTTTGAGAGGTAATCAAACACATTGTTGTATTTTACCAACTTTTTCCTTCTGTACTTGAGCAGCTTTTGTATCCTGTTGAGCACATAATGAAAGTTGCATAATTATAACCATCACAACGTCCTAGGTTTCATTGGTGAGCTGGTAAGTCTCACTTTGTCACGTCACGCACTGTGAGATCCCGCATCAGTTGGAGAGGCGAACGAAACATTCTTTATAAGAGTGTGGAAACCTCTCCCCAGTAGACGCGTTTTAAAACCTGAGGGGAAGCCCAGAAGGGAGAGCCCAATGAGGACAATATTTGCTAGTGGTGGGCTTGAACTGTTACAAATGGTATTAAAGTTAGACACCGGACGGTGTGTCAACGAGGATGCTGAGCCCCAATGGGGTAAATTATGACATCCCACATCAGTTGGAAAGGGGAACAAAGCATTCCTTATAAGGGTATGGAAACCTCTCGCTAGTAGATGCGTTTTAAAACCTTGAGGGAAAGTCCAAAAAAGACAATATTTGCTAGTAGGGGGATTATTACAAATGTTATTAGAGCCGGACACAGTGTGCCAACGAGGACGCCAAGCCTCAAGGGGGTGGATTGTGAGATCTCACATCAGTTGGAGAGCGGAACGAAATATTCCTTGGGTGTGGAAACTTCCCCTTAGTAGACGCATTTTAAAACCTTGAGGGAAAGTCCAAAGATGATAGTACCTGTTACCGGTGAGCTTGAACTGTTATAAACTACCATGTTCTGTATTTATTTCATTAAATTAGAACAAACCAACCAATATCCCCTCTTCCTCGTTCCTTTTTCTTCAGGTTCCATAATATTTGAGGTGAAACCATAAACATGGAGTAGAAAACTCTAAGCAGGACTTACAAAAGGTCTATACCTTATACTTTCCAGATTGGGATCATATAAAACGTTGCAAGTTTCTGTTAAGGTTAATCATTGATCTACATGAATATGATAGTTATTAATGATTGTGTTTCATTTCTGTAAGATATATCATTGATTCATATCTATGAACATGCTTGCAAATTATAACCATAGTCTAATACATGCTTGCATATTAAGTTTTCATGATAGATGGATATTGACCCATGGATGTCAATTATTATTCTAGAACACTGGCAGTGCTATTTGGACGACAGTTTTTCTCTTGCAAACAGATTTTGTACAAGGAAAGTTTTGGCCATTACCATATGTCAAGTCTGCCGTTACTATTAACATCCAGTTCAAATACATTATTTATCTGTATAGTTTAAGAGTCGGGATTTGTGATTGGGTTCCTTGTATGATATATTTGTTTCGGGGCATTGGATATTTGAACCAAAAGTACTTGTCTGAAATAGTTGAGCTATACTCAGGTTGACAAAAATTACAAGAGTTCGAAAGACGGATGAAATTCAAAAGTTTGATATAAAATGGAATTATTCAGTAAAACCGAGTAGGATGATGACAATTGAGAAAAAACGTGAACTCCTTTAGGGAAAAAAAAAACAAGCAAGTATTGTCTCTTTCCTAAAAATCATGGTTGTGCAGCTCGAGACGGTTACCAACACCTTAAGTACCGTTGATCTTTCAATAAATAATTTATTTACAATCCAATCATGGGCTTGTGAAAGGGTGGAGTCTCAAAATTACAAAGATTATTGAATTAACTATGAAGGTCGGTCTGACTCTCCTAAGATTAAGATTGAGTTGTATATGATCATCCCGTGAAATATTAATTACGAGACTTTATATCCTAAATCCTAATAATAAATACTCTTCTTCTTCAACTAGAAGAACGTAAACTATTCCTAAATCCTAAACTCCAGCTATATTAATATTCTCCTAAGCTAATTTAAGCATTAGAGCCCGTGTGGTAAGAGCCATACCAATTTTATCGATGTTGTCACATGAACGTCACTTGCATTACCCAGTATGAATTTTGACGACAACTTTAAAGAGCCCAATTTTGATAGAGCTTACTAACTCGAACAATTAAAGCATGTATTTTTTTGAATTGAATAAAAAAGTTGAACCTTCTTAGACACACAACATTTATTAAGAGTAGGGTAGACATACGGATACACCAACTTTTTAAAAGAAACGTAAATTGTTAGACCATTAAGAGTTATACTCGGGTTAGTTGTATGAACCCGAACCCGAATCTGAACTCGAGATTGAAACAAAACAATCTATCTAAATCTCTTAAGGGGTACAAAAGAATTGAAGCCTTCTTGGACACACCCCATTTATTGGGAGTAGGGCATAGTGTGAGAGACACCCACTTTTGAAAGCCCTAAATAAACAAATAAATAAACAAATAAATAAACAAATATGGTCACCAATACAATATATATTTATAAAGAATGCATTGGTAGAAACATAGCTTCATTAATGTGCATCATTTTTTAGGTCATTTAGGTCCCACGCAGTCCCTTGGAAACTTCCTTTGCCGACATTTCCTATTCGTTCCTTTCGAGACCGTTCTATAAGTCACACCTTACGTTCCGAGGTGAATTCCATCTTTGACTGGATCTATTATCAGTGTTAGCAGCCATAGAATCAATAAAGGAAGAAAGGTTTTCACACCCTTATAAAGAATGTTTCATCTTTGACTGGATCTATTATCAGTGTTAGCAGCCATAGAATCAATAAAGGAAGAAAGGTTTTCACACCCTTATAAAGAATGTTTCATCTTTGACTGGATCTATTATCAGTGTTAGCAGCCATAGAATCAATAAAGGAAGAAAGGTTTTCACACCCTTATAAAGAATGTTTCATCTTTGACTGGATCTATTATCAGTGTTAGCAGCCATAGAATCAATAAAGGAAGAAAGGTTTTCACACCCTTATAAAGAATGTTTCATCTTTGACTGGATCTATTATCAGTGTTAGCAGCCATAGAATCAATAAAGGAAGAAAGGTTTTCACACCCTTATAAAGAATGTTTCGTTCTCCTCTTCAACCGATGTGGGATTTCACAGATTCCCACTCGAGAAAAGATGGTTTAACCATAGTAAAAAAAGACGGTTAAAAATATGTTTTTTTACCTCAAAACTTCAAATTTGGGTGTATTTTAGAAGAGACAAAAGCTTGTTGATGTAGTAATTCATAAATGATAATGGTCCCTTTTTAAATATTAATGTTTTTCATAATTGGAATTAATTTGGTGTAAGTCATAAATAAAGCTAATGTAAAGTCATATTCATTCATTTATCCCACACTTTTTACACCATTTAATTTCTTTGTCAAATCGAAAACGATTGCCAACAACTTTTAATTTTTATATTTTTATCATTTAATTAAAAATAACCAATTAAATGGGAGGTTTTATGTATTTATTATTCAATTTTAAATTTTAAATAAATAAATAAACTTTAAACTCGTGCAACCTGCAATGATGGTGTGGCCTTCCATAGAGCTTTTTGGAGAAACGAGCCAAATGTAATTTGCTTAAATATCTATCGAGAATAGAGACGTCCTAGAACTTAAATCTCGTGAGAGGATAAACTTAGCTAACTCGGGTTGTCTCTATTTTATGACAAAAAGCTCACAGCTAGTAGATGTTGTTTTTCTTAGACTTTTCCTTCGTGACAGAAATGGATTAAACTCGAACCATGGACGAATTTGAATGCTCGAACGAAGAACGGTTCGGTATATTCAAGAAGTTGTGGGCTTTACTCGACAAAAGTAGCTGAAAAGAGTTAAAGATGAAGGAACACAAGTGGGTAGCAGATTTAAAGAACAAAAGGGTCAGAAAACACTGATATTCTAAACATCTTGAACATTATCAGACATTGCCTCTTAAAGCTGCACCCTCTGCTCCCTAAACTTAACAAAATCATTACAATAATAACACAGAAACAGCAATGGAAGGGATTCAGTAACGGGACTTCGGGTGTGTCGATCTCGACCGAGCAGGTGGGTGTTTCCTCAACGTTCCCACGAACAGTGTTTTCGTTTCGGGAAGCAAATTAGTAAAGATTAAATAAGGGTAAAAGGCTGTTGTTCCATCCCTAAGTTTGCATCGAATGTGAACCGAAAAAAATGGACCTCCATTCGCTCTATCCCGAACTGGAAACCCGAGCTCCAACGCCATTGTTGGATTCTGCTACCGAGTATAAAGATTCATTCAGGCTGGCTTGTTTTTGAAGCCCGTGAATTTTATCTCTATTTACAGATTAACAGAGGCATGACATGACTTGTAAAGATATCTATAAGCTTCCTAAGATTATAAACAACTGATCTAAATGCATACTCTTCCCGTGGTTAGAATTCTGACTTCCATAACATGTTATCGAAACTGTCGTTGTCGGGGTTTTCCAGTGCCGAAACTTTAGCTCGGTAGGCTGCTAACGCAATTGCACTTCTTTCCCTTCCATCCTGAGGGAGCTCACTGACTTCACTGATGGAACATGATCTCAAGTCAGCTGGGGGAATGAAACAGTCCATCGACAGGCCCGGGATGTTGAACGCAACCTCTTCGATCGTCCAGGCTTCTTCCATCTTCGTTTTCGAATGACTCATGGCCATCTCGCCGAACCTGAAGAGGGTGACCACGGAGCGGCCAGCGTGCGCTATCATGATACCTTCAACGGGCCTGTAATCGTCAAGGAACGAATTGATTGTGGTTTCCCAATATACTGCATCGCCACCGTTGGACTGAATCCGGGTCAGATGAGAATCTTCCATGTACACCAGCAATCCTGTTTTCTGGCTGAAGTAGCCAAACAAGACATGTCGTATGATTTCGGCCGGTCCTTCGCTTCTCGACTTCAACGTTTGAGCATCGGCACAGAGCTTGAGAATGAAGCAATCCTCACCATTCATTGTCTTCTCCCCAATGCATCTTGCATCAGCAAACATCCTGGCTATTGTTCTAGGATCAAGACCCTGCAAAGACACAAGACATTATCTCAGACAAAAGCCAGTAGAGTTAACAAAACTCGATGTGCCAAAATCTTACCTGAAGCACACGGCGTAGAGGTCGAACCGGCCCTTTCGCAGTGTGAGCCCCAAGCCATGGCGTGTGCCTCCAAACCAGTTTCCCATTGCAGCCAGCATGAACTTTACTACCTCCAACAGCAAGCTCAACATACCACATATCTGGATTCATCTGCCATAGCACGAAGCCACCCGGTTCGGCTTGGGTTGAGGGATTTCTGTTCTTCGTTACCTTTGTAGCAGTTTCAAACTCAGCAGCTACCATTCTAAGCTTCCCCATTGCATATGCATTTCTAATGGAGCTTTGAAGCTTCTCCCCACCAGAAGCTGCTGTGTATTGCTGCAATATGTACTGAGCTGATGAAGTTTCCTGAAAAATAATGACAAACCCACTAAAGATCAAGAGATTTCTATGCTTTGATCCTAATTTTGCATTCAATTCCTTATAGAAACAGAAGCAGATCCCAAGATTTGTTCAACTATTGTTCCAATATCCATACAAATCAAAGTTGAAAAGCTAAATTCATGATCCATTCATAGTGTTCATTGCTCAAGAACTCAAAACAGAGGAGAAGAAAAACAGAGGAGAAGCAGAGACTAACAATGGGGGTATCTTTTATACTGAGATGGGGCAGAGGATCGGAGGTGCTAACATGCATAGGAGCAAGAGGAGCACCCATAACACCAACCAAAAGCCTCAAATCGGACCTCTTATTCGCTATGGAAGAAGCAATGGAAGGAGTTCGAGAAATTTGCCCTTTCATCCATTGCCCTAACCCTAAACTGATTCTCTTCGAATCGCCAATTTCGCCGCCGTCGGGATCAGGACCCTCAACCAACGGCGTAAGCGCCTCCCCCACTGGCCGAAAACTACCGGATCGATCAATTAACTGCTGCTGAGTCCCGCCATAGCCGCCGTAGTGATTCTTCTTTCTACGCATTAGATTAGAGAATGGCGAGGCAGTTCTGGCCGGGTTTTTGGCGCGAGAACGCGACGGCGAAAGGCCACGAATGACCTCCTCTTTCAGAACAGAGAAGAAGCTGGGTTTCTTCTCCATTAGAGAGAAGATGAGAAGGAATTGGAAGAACCCAGAAGTTTAAATGGGCAAATTGGATGAAGAAGACGAAACCCAGAAGAGTGAAGAAGAAATTGAAGAGGTTTAGAGTGTGTAAGGCAATGGCGGTGCAGCAGCTTTCATAGGATGAGAGAGAAAGGAAAGTGAATTGTTTTCTCTCTCTTTATTTCCGCCATTGGAGCAAAGGCGTAGAAAGGCAATTACAAATACTACAAAGACTACAGACCAACTTTGACCCTATTTCCATTCTTCTCTTCTCAATCAAACAAAACAAAACAAAAAAAAAAAAATCATAATTTTAATAATCATATCCAAATTTTGATGTTTATTGGAAAATATTACTAATGGCATGAAAACGGAGTTCGGGTCGAGCAACACAACACAAGCGTTGTGTTGCTAGGCGAAGTGGTGGAGTGCTACACCTTATATGGCGAGAGTTCAGTAGCCGAAAACATCACTAACTTACGCTCTAACCCGAGTAGTATAGGGCATGTGAAATCCCGTGTGAATCAACAATGACTACCTTCCAAGTCTAAATACTCCTGATACTAAAGATATAAAATTAGTTGAACTATGTTTAAATTGGTATATGTTTATGACATATTAATTATGACATTGAGAATTCAAGGACGGTACTAGACATGGTCGTAATAGTTTCGTGATCGAACTTGTAATTCGGCTCGGGAAAGTAGGAGTGGAGAGAACGCGCTAGGGAGGAGAGTGGGGCTGTTTTGTGGAAAGGGAAAATGGAGTCCACCACCAATAGATGCCATATGAGTGGGCTACACAATGTACGGAACCAAACCCAAAGCCACTCCCATGTGACAGGACACTCTCCATCATTCATTCAAACCCTTTTAATTTTGTCTAATTATAATTTAAATCCCTATTTAATTAACTAATTAATTCTTTATTATAAAACTGTAGATACCTTTTCTCGATAGACATGTTTTAAAATTGTAACAGACCAAATAAAGAATATCGGTTAGCAGTAGGCTTGAGTTGCTAGAAATGATATCAGAGTCAGACATGAGGTAGTACGCCAACGAGGACGCTGGTATCGTCGTCAGCCTCACAGTTTTAAAACACGTCTATTAGGGGAAGATTTTCATATCTTATGAAGAATGTTGCGTTCTCTTCTCTAACCAACGTGGGATCTCACATAAACGAACTGGTTTTCGGTGGGTCGGTCAATATTTTGAATCATTAAACGAAAGAAACGAGATGTAAAGGAATATGTGAATTTTTGTTGATGGGTATGTATAATATATATGTTAAGCTCATATCAAAATCAAATTGCGTCACCATATCTATATGATAAGATTGTGTTTCTTTTATATATTGGCATCGAGACTCAATAATTCATTTGAATTTTCATTTATTTATTTATTTATTTGTATTATTATCATTATGATTCAAAATTATAATGTCTTTTTGAGTCTCAACATCCAAAAATATATTTTATTATTATTTTTTAGTTACTTTTAAAATTTAAATCATATGATTTAAAAAAAACAAAAATATAATAAATTACTTGAAAATTAAGTTTCGTAACACGACATTTGATTATAATAGTATCGAGATTTGATAAATCACGTTGTTTGAAAAGCGTAAATTTTATATTATAAATATTATTTTTCCTGTAAAGAAAGACGAAACGAAAACAAGATTCATTCATTTGACTTAACTCCTTGTTCTGTGTTCGTTATTCAGGAAGTTCTTGTTCACCTCTCTTTTCTTTCACTCGGTAAATAGATAGTAAGTAGTAGTCTTTCTCCTGCCCCTTCTTTCACTCCTGAACCTGAACCGGACCCTGACGAGATATTTTGATATAGAAGTTGAAACAAGAAAGTTAGGGATGTTAAAATTACGTGGTGACCCGAAGAACGTGATTATACCGCTTAACTCATACGATTTGAGTTGGGTTATTAACTTATTTAGGTTTAAATAAATAAAAATATATTATACGAAATGAAAAAAAATAAAAAAATACAACTTTATTTTAATCCAATATGATATAAAAATGTATTTTTTTTATATTTGTCACCATGCATGTGGGACAACTTTGTTTCTTTGTTTGGCTTGGTTTGACCAAATTAATTAATTAATTATTTAATTTAATTTTATTTTATTTTATTTTTGTGCATTTGGGCTTTGGGTGAGCTTGAGAGAGAGTGGTTTTAATTCCAACACTGGGAATTAAATATATCATTATTATAATAACAATTAGAAAATTTGACTTTAATTAACATTTAAAATTTTGAGTATCAAATAATAAGAATATAATAATAATAAAAGTTGGGGTTTCAAATGTTTGAAAAACTTCCGTTGTTGTTGGAGAATAGTGCAAAATCTTGACCGTCCATTTTATTTGCGATTGCCAAGCTCATCGATGGTTTTAACGATTAGAAATTTGAAATTTCTTTTCTTTTTAAACTTTGTTTTAAAACGGCGACGTTTTTTATTATGAAAATTACATTTTAATGTTGAGATTGAGAAATGAGAAATATTATGAATTTATAAATGAAGATAATATTTTTTTTATTAAATAAATAAGATATTTCAGATAATGAGCTGTAAATTTGTAATATTTATATCATGTTTTAAAGAGAAAAAAAAATAAAAATAACCTTAATTAATTTTTCATTTTCATTTTATGATGAAATATTAGATGGGACCAAAAAGGCAAGCTTTAAATGATGAGGGCACTAAGAAAAAGGGATTAAATGAGATAAAAGTGGAGACTTTTTAAATTAGCAATTGGGATTAAATGTGCATTTTTAATAGTTTTCTAAAGGCCAACTTTTTGTTTAGTGCACCATTTTCAACAATTAGGGGCTTTGGCGGAAAGCAAGTTTCCACATTTAAGAATCGTCCATAACTCTATTTATTTATTATGTTTTACTTTATATTCACCTAATTTCTCATCGAGGCCGAGTTAAGTTTCTAACTTGTTCAATACTTTGATCGATGAGATTCACATGTTGGTTGACGAATTTTTGGATTGAGTTGATTCAAGATTTCAGGTAGCTTTTAAAGGAAGATTTGAATTCGGAAGAGCTAATCAATTCAAGGAAGGACGGTGGAAGAATTGGATGGATAAGAAGTCTACCAAGCTCGAAATAGAGTCAGTCAAGGCACGTGCTCCCTTTTACTCAATTCTCGATGCTACGTAGGTAAGTAAGTGCTTTTGGGATAGTGAAAAACAATATATTTAGTAGGGAACTTGTAAAAATAAGCATGAAGTTGCAGTCTTTGAGAAACTAAATCAATAGGGAAATAAATCTTTTCACAAAAAGATTAGTGGGAAATGGGCCTCTCTTTGTACAATCCATAAAGTTTAGAAAACTGGGCCTATAATTAAGGCCCACGATAAGACCTGGGCCTATTTCATAATAAACAATTTATTTAAAGCTTTGAGAAATCTTACTTTTAAGATTCTCAACTATACAAAAGTACTTCAACAAAAACACATCGTTATGAACAATAATAAATAATGTAATCCCAATCAAATAACATTTGGTAGCAGATTCAAACCATTATTCTTTAGTCGAATATCGATGAGCCAAACTCGAACGATAATCGAATCAAATTTAGAACAAAACATACTCTTCGACACTAAAATTAATATTAACAATGATAAGACTGAACATTCATGTGCAATACACTGGCTATTGAATGTTCTTACAAGGAGAACAAACAAATTCATAGATAAATTCACAAACAAGCAGAGCTATATAAATAGATTTAAAGGAAGAAATGGTCACTTCGACCTGGAGAATTTGTTCATGAATGAGCACCTGTTATCAAGTTTACGGATTTTCTGCATAACTGTTCTTCCAAATAGGTGGGTTTTAAGAATTGAAGAATGAACATTGATACTCTTGACCAAGTTCTGATAAACATCTCCAGACCCCTGGCATTGAAAACAAAACAAAAACATGATCTAAATTTCGTATAATGATGCACTTTCCATTCGAAATCAGAATCGAAACAGCATTCATGTTGTTATGTTAAAAATGAGAAACAAAAGTGGGATTGAAAGTCCGAGAAACATAGGTGGGATCGGTCCACCTATGTTTCTCGGATTTTCAATCCCACTTTTTGTTTTTTATACTTAACATGGTATCAAAGCATCATTCTTAACCTCTTATCTTACCTGGGTAAGGGCTTATTCAAGAGCAGTTTGAAGAACGTAATTGCCATAAGGATCTTGAGAAATACTAAGAAACTCAGTTTAGTATGTCAATTCCACAACAATCTTCACAACTTCCCTCTGTTCACCCTTCTCCAAGCACCTCTCCACCACATTGCTGTCTATCTTACTCTTCGCCAGTCTGCTAAATCTCCCGCCAACCGCCTCACTATGCATTTTATTACGCCTTCAATGCCAGCCTCAATTACATGCTGAACCACATAGTTCCTACCCAAAATTCCACAACAGAACAGTAAACCAGACACTCTTTGTCTCCACCACAAGTTCTTAATTAGACTCACAAACTAACTAACCCGTATCTGTCCTCTGCTAGAACAGCTGAGTTTCTTATGATCCCGTCGAGTAAATATGGTAATGAATTGGTTTGCATATACATTGGACGGATACATTGTTGAAGAGCTATGCATCCTAATCGATTTGTTGCAATCTCTACACACTTTCTTAACACTTCACAGAAAATTCACTGCAGTTTCAAACACAAACATGAAAAGGATGTATGATCTCGTACCATAATCGATCGGATTAAGCGGTGAATGATTACGTACCCTTCTCCCCCAATCAGCCTTGCAAGCTTGGATGAAGAATTCCAGGATATGTTGAGTGTTTTTATTGTTGGTGAAGCAGCAAATACAATCCTCTAGAACATTTGTGATAGTGAGCAGGTGGTTTTCAACTTTGAGATTCTCGATCAATGTCTTCACGGCCTCCATTCTGTCAAAATAAATTGAAAATGAGTAATAGTAATTTGATATAGTATTAGTTATGAACAATTTTGTTTTCGATTTATATAGTTTTTGAAGATCAAACAGGCTTGCTGATCAATTATATTGAAACTATCAAACTAAAACTATTACTGAAATTTAGTAACATTCTTCCTGTTTCTATCTTTTTCTAATAAATAAACAATTACCAAAGAAGCAAGAACATTATGAATAAACTCAAAGAAGCAAAGAAGATTCACCGCTGATTCAATCAGAA